TTCTGCAGCGGTGACATTACGTGCGCTGATGAGATAGCGAAATGGCACTTTTCCAAGCATTTTTGACTTGTTGAAATCTTTTGGTAGAAAAAATAAGTTAAGCTTGATTGCTTTTTTTACTACGACATTCATTATGTTGGTGCTAAGTAAAGCTACTTGGTAGACAGAATAACTCTGCATTGTAACCAGATCAAGAGTGGAGGCTATTCAGGATGACTCAAGGTAACTGCGCCCCTGCGCATTCGGCTCCAGAGCGGTGCGGTTGTCTCATACTGTTCCCATAATAGAGTACCTAGTACTCTAAATCCTTACCCACTTTTTTCTAAACGTAGTTAATTGTTCAGTTTTGTTAAAATAATTCCGCACAGCCGCGCAAGTTTTCGCCCTGGAGAACCCTGAAATGCGTATCGTTTCACCGGTACAGTTTATAGCTCTTCCATAGTAGGGCGCGTATATATAGTGCTGTAAAGCGCTGACAATTTCTTTTTCCGATATCAATGCAGTGGAAGATCGTTAAGGCTCTGATGGCAAGGTGAGCACTCTGGATCGGCAATCTTTTTGCTGAACAAACACATTCGAAACTGTATCGATGGCCCACTGCTCTGGACTAGTAGAGCATATAGAGTGCTCTGAATTATCAACTGTTGTTTTTCCCAAACGTACAGCTATCAATACGTTATTCACCCTTTGTTATGCAGCCATGCAGACAATGTCGTTATAAACGTTGCGAGACGGCTGACTCTACGCGATGAGTGCAGTGCACGCGTCAGGTGAGTGCCTTGGAAAGGTTCATGACAGTAAATGTGAGAAGACAAGAATACGAGGCGAAGATGGCTCGCGAGAAGGTGGCGTTAGACAAGAAAATTTTGTCGCTTCGCTTGCATCTTGCGGAGGCTGAGGTACGCTGTGGTAGGCGCGAAGACACGACAATCATTACCGATCGTTCCGAGCCGTCACAAATATGCCCTGTCCATATGGCGCCTGCGCATGAAGAAAAACGGGGTGATTTTATTCATTCGTCTGAACTATCCAAAGTGGTGCGAACAGGACAGCTATCGCCTGTAGATAAGCTGTCCGCACCGAGCACTCCTCCAGCTGGCGACCAAGAAACTAACAAAGGTCTGGGTGAGCCCTTGAAAGAAAAAGGTAGACCCTGAAGAGAGAAATCGATTATTTTCTCACCGGAAAAAGACCAAGCACATTAAAGGAAGAGGCAGGACTACCTCTATACAGCTCCATTGAAGGAGCGATAGAATGTCACTGGCACGATAACGGCGAGTGACGAGGAAAAAGTTATGAGGTTATGGCCGATGTTGATTGTTCACCTTTGGATACTGTAACAGGGGCCACAAGCATGGTCGAAGTCGATGAGCACAACTCCCTCATAGATTCATTGTGAAGTGACCTCTCCCAGTGAACAGGGGAAGAGGAGGTGTTCATTCGGCGAGAAGCAGGGTGGAGGCTGTTCTCCAGCGTCACGTCAAGGTCGTGGTTTGCCCCGAGTGCCTGGTAGACTTCAAGAGAGGGAGCGGCCTGTTTCGCTTGACCTCAGGCTTCGGTGGTCCATGGAGCCAGCGGGAGGCTACCGCAGCCACCGGGTCCACTGTCGGGTGTTAGCCCGGTTGCTTGGCTGTCGCCCCTGGTCCGCGCGTCCGAAATAAAGACTGCCTGAATTCGTTGGCCCTGTCTTCGGCACTTATCCGCTCCGTCGTTCCTACATCTGAGCGTTGCCCTGCTCTTCGACTCACTCCTCCGACGGCGGCATCTCTGTGCACGCATCTGCTCGCCAAAGACATCTCGACACCTCAGTATACTAGCACTCACCGGTGAAACTGTTCCGGTTACGGTTGGACTAGACTTGCTGATGTGTCCACTTAAGGCTCTTTACATAGGTTGTGAAATGTTTTGTTAACAGTACAACGTGTTGTGTGTCTCATGTTTGTGTGTGATTTTGATAAAGTGAGGGAAACAGAAAGCAGCCTCGCCGTCTTTCATACGGACGTTTTGGTCAATGACGCAAGGAAATCCGTTTAATTCAAATATTTCAAAGAACACCTCATAACCTCTCCCATAGTTGTTAGCATAGCACCAATTTAAGTACTTATTGTACCGCTGTGCTGCGGTGATGCAGTAAATTGTATAGTCTCTATCGTAATGCGATAGTGTTACTTGGTTCATTGCGTCACACGGCAGAAAGCCGCAGCACAAAAGATGAACATACGCTATGCCTCAAGTCAGAGGGCACGTACGTAGTTCGGAAATCAAGCGTTCAAATGCCAGACGTTTACTGGCGATTGAATATATAATGCCATTCTCCCCTGACATAGGCACAGTAGGCCTGGTTATCTACAGCTATGTGGTGTTTAAGGATGACCTATTAACTTTTTAGGGGTGAAGCTCCTTGTGGTTGAGTCTTGTTCGTTAGCGCTGCATGGTGTTGTGTACCTTAGCCACCGCATGACGAAGATTCTGATGACCGCTAAGAACAAGTGCATTCCCACACATTCTCTTTCTGTAATCACGGTACAGCATACGCGAGGCGCGCACTACGTCATGGCATTGACGATGACACTGATGACGATGAAGATCAAGCGTGTTTAGGCCACACATTCTTTCTGCCAGCGCAGCACATGCAAGCTACCCATTATACGCTAAGACGCTGAAGATGATAACGATGATGATCGTGGACAACGACTGGCTTGTGCAGTATATGAAATCTCAATATGCTCTACGATGCATTTCGTATAATCTCCAAAAACCAACAACCACCAGGGGAACGTACACAGACCTCGTCACAGACTTCGTGCCCAGACGGGCAGAAGCACGGGCGAATGGACGGACGGATGAACGAATGGACACACGGACGGACTGACGGATGGACGCTTCGCCCCACTCATCATTATTCACTCCGTGGATAAGCTGTGATTTTTTTTAGTCGGGGTTGTCGCAATCCAAGCAGTAGATGGCACAGAAAGACCCTTGATGCATGCGGGAGGGACACTTATTCAGCGACGAGGCGTAATCCGCTAACACGATACGAAAAGGCAAAGCACGTAACTGCGTCTTCTCCGAGCCGAATCGTCCAGTATGCCACATTTCACTAACCGCAGAGTTTTCTGCAATATTGCCCCTAAAACCCTGGTTGTGCTGAAACAACCCAATCACTTTTTGTGCCATGATTCTGCACTTGAATTTACCGCTCCAGGATGCTTATACTGCCTCCACCAGCCAAGAGTATGGTGTGAGGGAAGAAAATGTGAGAGACTTGAGACGCGTTTGTGGAGCCTCGTGCATGTGCGTATATAGCTGGTGCCTTGGGTAGAGCCATTAGAGTTTTCTAAAATTAACTAGAGGGGACTCTGGCATTGGAGTCGCTTAGCGGCCATGGGAAGAATGGGTAATACACGGATTTGCCTAGTTTTATACTTGCTGGTGGCTAAATCACACTTGTGACTTCGTTTATTGCTGTGTTCCTGTTTTCTTTCGAAGAAAATAACGAATCCCTTTTGCACTCCGTGACCCGATTTGAGAAGGTAAGAATAAAGGAATAAGATGGTGAAGCGCAACCCCTGAACATTTCCTGACTTTTGTTTTCGTGAGAAAACAGCTCCAAACCACACTGAAAACACATGCAGACAGAAGTACGAAGATTACACAAATCCGTGTACCACTTATCATTCCCATGCACGGTGAAGTGCCGTGCGTTGCAGCTCCCATAGACACAAGCGCCAGGGTTCCCTCTAGTGTACATTTAGGAATCTCTATGGGTAAAGAACCCCATACAGTTTCCAAATAATAAAAATAGAGGAAGCCCTGAAGCTAGAGTCAAAGGGAGCTGCAACACACGGTGCTTCAGTGGATATGAGAATGATGGGTAGTACACATATTTCTCGTCGTACTTCTGGCTCCGTTTGGCATTGTGTAGCTTGAAAGTGCTTTATCACAAAGCAAAACTCGCAAATTTTCAGCAGTTGCACTTCACCGCCTTAACCATTTAGGCTTATCAATTCAAATCATGCGCGCGTGTTCTGCCGATTGTGCTGTGTTTATCTCTCTTCCTTCTGTCCTCTCTATCTTTCATCTTCCCCATCCCCCTCCCAAGCGCAGTGTAGCACACCGGCTGCTTATTGGCTGGTTAACCTCCCTGCCGTTCTTTTCCTTCTATTTTCCTTCCTTCCTTCCAATTCAAATCAGGACACGAAGTTTACAGTGGTCCGTTGTTTTATTTTAAACGATATCAAAACACCGCAATAAACAAATACACGTTTGCATTTGAAGCGCGCAAGCATGAAAAGTAAGCAACTTTATGTGCTACTCATCATTTTCATGGTCGCTGGGCAGCACCAGAGTCCCCTCTAGCTAATTTTAGAAAGCTTCATGAATCACCAGGCACATATCATCGTGGACTGAGAGTTCGTGTGTTTGACTACCAGGTCATCAGAATCAACAAGAACTTTTGTTCAAACTTTCTTGAAATTTATTTGGCCCGTCTTGCCAACGTCACTTCCGTGCTGAAAATGATGTCAGTGAAATATTGGTAGACCCCTGTCTGAAAGACTGTCATGTTAATTAAAATAAAAGGCTGCATATCAAGAGTGCCGCAGAATGTAGTGCACTGACTGTTGCATACATCGCACGATACCTTGTAGACTTCACCACGAACCTGAGCAAAAGTTGAATTAAATGCTGTGTGTCTACGTTTCCTACGAAATCGTTGCCATTTCACTTCTGATGACCGGCTATATCTCCTTTAGTGTGTGGCGGGACGCCATTTCTTTGAAATACGAATAATTAGCGAGTGGTACTTGCAACTGCAAAATATTCGTCACTTCTAGTTCTAACTGGATACCCGTAAATTTCATCCTAGCACGCTCAACGATAGATGCCGAGCTCATACGATACAGTTATGTTGCAGAAATCACCCATTGGCATTGCGGGAAGTCGGTGATGCAGTTAATCAAAACTTAAGGCGATATATGATGAACGAACACGTAACACTATTGCGTTTTGACTCTGTCGATGTTTATTTCCATCCCAAAAAGTACTAAATACAATGCAACAGGAAGACAAGGCACAGAGGTGAAAAGACTAGATACTCGTAAACAACTTGTTCGATCTCAGCTTTGAGCGTATGTACACTGTGGAGCACTGAAAGGCATCGTGTAAGACTTGAAGCGGACACTTTGCACGGAACAGGGTGCGTACCAGACAGAACTGCAGCATTGACAGGACGGGTTGTCAGCACAAAGGTACGCACCCGTCACGACTCGTATTGTTTTTCTTTTCATTGATCAGCTAAGGGTAAACACGCTCAGTTCACATCTGTTTCTGTCACGGAGAAAAATCTGCTCCCCCGTTCCAATCTGTGCTTCTTGCTCTCGGCACTGGTTCTCTTGCTGACGCTTGGATTTTGCACAGGGAAAACTTTGTCGCAATGAGGTATGCGCAACGGTACATTTTAATATCGTTCAATGCGTATTCGAGTTGACAAGAGATCGCAAATGCTAACTGGAATACCCCGACTGCATGCTAGATGCCACAAAATTAAAATTAAAATGAGAAAAGCTGACTTGTTGCAGGTATACTTTTAATTGGAGAAGCTCGCCGCTTTCATGAGGTTTTATTAAACCACATTTGTAACACCTACATTTTCATTTTCGCAGCCAAGGAATTTTCGCACGTAGGCTGTATTCCAGTGGAGCATTTTTGTTAGTTGCCAGACCGGCGAAGATTTCAATATGACGAAGTCGTTGTAAAGGTGCTGCCACAAAACTATTTTAGTATATGTCGCCTCCGCCTGGTCCGTATGAATACACAGTTTATCTACTAGAACTTGCACAGTACGCCGATAACGTGGAAAATTCTCATAAAGTGAAGCGAGACGCCGTGGTATCATTGTGTTGTTATCACAGGAGTTACTACCTCGAGCAATAATCGTTGCCTGTCGATCTACCTTCGAATTGAAAACAAAAGAAAAACGTTTCAAACTAAGAACATTGTAGTTCGAAGTCACCACAAATGTTAGGTGATATTTTCGTCAGAAGACACGTGTTGTAGGCACAACGTCTAGATTTAGCATCACATGGGTAATGGCACTGTAGTTTTTCTCTCGCTTTAAACGTGCATCCCAGCATACACCCTTCTATTGCAGGCGACGGACAAACAAAGAAAGTTGTAGGAACAACGCCTTATTAAACAGAACCTCGTGGGACTCGTCGATGTTTGATTTTCATCTATGTGTCCGTCAAAAAAAAACAATGATGAATTTTACAAGGAATACACAAATATTAGTATTTGATCACGGCAACACCCAGATTACCTGCACTCAAAGAAAACTTTCTTTTCATCTTTCGCGCTCATAATCTTATTCAAAAATATTTATTGTATGTGCTGCGTGGCTTTACAAGTAACCTAACTTGTTAAGCTAGCAGAAATATATATACATTACTTCTCTCCAACCGCGTCTCGCGCCCAGTAGCACATTCGCTGTACAAACTAGCATAATATATGTGCTTATAAAAATTAAGTAACATCTGTACGTGTAAGGCATACAATAAGGCACTGATGTGTAAGACATCGTCAAAAATAGTTTTTAATGTCGCGTGTGATAAGTGTAAGTCACAGTAACATATCCTCAATGCTACTTCACTTCATGCGCTATCCTCCAGAGTTGTTGTTTTATTCATTAAATTGACACGTACTGTCCTTCTTATATTTACGTCAAGAAGAACGTTTTTACGACCCATTTTAGCCCAAGGAAATGCTGCAAAGCAAAACGCACTCTGGTCGTTTCACGTTACTATAAACAAAACGCTCGTACTGTAAGAAGGCATCGTCTTGCCAGAAGTATAGATTGTCGAAGACAGCGATATAAGTTCTGATCGGCCCCCTTAGTGGTGTGGTTCTTTAATACACATGGCGCAGTTATGGATGATACTCCGTCCTACGTTTGTTATATTATCACCGGGAATATCAAGCACGCATACGTAGAAAAGATTTTGCACTTCTTCCTGGCGCCCAGGAACCTGTTAGGATAACAACACGGCCTCGCAGCTCCTTTTGACACATTTGTTGGCGAAGTACTAAACACCATTATGTACACAGCCTCTATTTGCATCTCCTGCCAAAGGGGCAGTTACGCCATTATCCAGTAATCGTCTTGGCAAACGGGAAACCAGGGTAAAAAAAAGTACTATTAATGTGCTTAACAAGGAATAGCCCGAACTATTATGTCATGTGACCTCATGACCTCCCGAACAGACTTCATTCCACGGATCAAATGCGTACCAGAGGCAACACACATACAAATGTCACTCCAATGGGGAAGAATGGTACAGAACGCGACGCTAAAACTGGTCCCAGTTCGCCGAACACTGAAAGTTTGCGGTGTCGGCCACTACAGAGCACGCACAAGAAGTCTGAGATCACGCCATCTTCTCTTCATTCTCTTTTTCTCATCGGGGACCACTCCAAAGGTGTTGATTCGAAGCCACGCGCGATCACAACACGAGTTTGTCACATGTCGGGTCAGTTTATCATTGACCAGCCGACACTTCGGGCGTGTCGTCAAGGTGTGAGCATAGACGCGCCTTCCAAGAACTTCATGGTCGGTAAGGAGGGTGGCAGGAAGGCCTGAGCTGACTGCCGGTAGCGCATCATCATCTGGTCCAGCACACCGAACAGAAGCCGTGGTGGCGGAGGCGGCGTGGTGGGTGACGACGCGACCCCCAGGTCAGGGTTCGAACGCGAGCTGCCCTTGCTGTCCTCGTTGGAGTCGAGTGTGGGCGACTTCGGAGGCTCGGCTTCGTAGTGACCCGTCTTGGCCGATGACGAGAGACCGTTGCCGGCCAGAGTGCCCAGGCATGTCGGGCAGTAGCCGCGTCCCAGAAACCTGCCCGCGCCGCCGGTCGCGCTCACGGAGTAGGACTTGCCGCAGCCCGAACACTTCTCCTGGTGTTCTCCTGGTGAAGGAAGAGATAAGGAGAAAACAAGGTTAATGCAAATAGTAAAAGGTTCTGGCAGGCTAGTTGGCTCATTGCTTTTATTCTTTAGTACATTGTGCGAAAAGATTAGGACACATGTAAAAAATACACTGGAACATAAGCTCGTTGTGTCCTGCGTGTTTCTTACTTGTGTCTTCATCTCTTCGCACTGTTTCAATAACGTTTAAAACATGAATAGGTTAGCGTAAGGGTATCGTCGTTGTCGTCATTAGAACAATTGCCTCCGCTACGACCAATGCCACCACCACCTTCTTTGATACTATGTCCGAAGCATCCGAAGTCACGACTGGCTGGAGTCTGCACCTACAGAAGAATTTATGAGACACAAATGCACTTTCTTAACAAAATTCCTTTTCGAGTAAGGCGAAACGCAAGCATTCCGCGTACCCTGTGACGTCATTCTGCGTTGCACAGCAGATAGAGAGCCCTCCACCACGACGTTCCTCATAATCGTATAGTGGTTTCAACATTTCCAGATATTATCATCAACAAGAGCCCTGCGTTGTCACAACGGCCATATGATACGCCGTTGAAGCCATGTTGGGTGGAAACTTCACTGCACCGAATGATACCAGGTTTATCACAACCTGCTGATGACTTCATTTATTTCTGAAATAAAATAGCTTCGAGGGGCACAGCAGGGAGTCATATAATATTTTTCAGTAGTATGTGCCAAGGTGAAATGACACTTCACTTTTTTTTTCTTGCTTCATTTCGGAGAGTAGCACCGAGGGTGCTGACTTGGAAAACTCGCACTCGCATTCATCCTGAGCTTGTATCTTTACCGCCGCATAACTTCGGGCTGGACAAAAGCCGGCGGAGAAAGGAAAGAAGACTTCCTGGACATTAACAAAAAGTGCGACACGCGAGGCTTCTAGCGAGAGGCCGCACACAATGAGCGGCATAGAACGGGAGCAAGAAGAGATAACATCTCGAAAATCTGCGAACTCCGAGAGAGGCGGTGGCAACAAAGGCGGCCATCAGTCAAGGCTTGAACAGCTCGTCGGGTTCGCGAACTCATTTCCCTCCAAGAACCGGTACGTGCTTCAGTAATGGCTCGTAATCACTCTACTGCTACGGCGTTTAGTGTTCGGTCAAATGAAATCACATTGCTTTTCATCGTGCCCAGCGCCAACAACATTTATGTTAATTAGGCGTTATTGCTAATATTAATTACCTCACTGAAAAAGTGATTGATAGAATGAAGCCTTAACACCCTGGCAACATTTTTTTTTACTTTCAGCTATGATACCTCTACGTTAGTCCAAAATGGTCTCGCTAACTATTCAGTATATACTTTCCGATATGTTATATCCGGTCACGCGGTAAGCGAGCTTATCAGCCTATCACTGTCGGCTTCTCCGCACCCGCCAACACCACGGCATATCGGAGATCTTCTCGGTTTAAAGTCCAACCATTAAATATAGCTTTTCTTTGCCGAAGTGCTCCACTGGCCATATATTTTGTGTGGAGCCTTACGCGTGTTGAATGATAAGGCAAACTGGTTCAGTAAGTTGTCTTGCTGTTTATGTGGCCATTTCGATGCTCTTCAATCTCCGTATGTTGCTAACAAGCAATATGAGAAATATGCGGAAGTTATGTTGGCTGTCACTGAAGCTGAAAAACAGCGCGTGAAGAAGATGGTTCCTACAAACAAAGTGAATTCAAAAAAAAAAAATCTGGCGCATTCCTCTTCAATGCTGTGAGAAGCGAAACAGGTAGCTTCCGTGTGCAACCGTCCATCCCCCCTCTTCGCTCGGTATTGTTTTTGTTGATAAAATATACATTTGGGTAGGTTTAGTACCGGGCACTGAAGAAGCATCTACACTTCAAAAAATGATGAAATATAGCGTAACTACGCACAGGTATGCCTATCGCACAACTCATCAGAGAACAGATTAAAGCGGCCGAAGCATTCACTATAAGCGTAATAAATAAAACACGTACACGCACTGGTAAACGTACGGCAAGGAGAAAGTAGGTCAAGCCAGCCATCACAGTAAGATGCGTCTTTATTTTACAATAAACTTTAGTTTCCAGTCACGCCTGTATACTGTGTGTTCTTTGCGGTGTCCGTTGTCATTGCGCTACTCTCCGACATGAATATATTCCAAATCACATAGCACTTTACGTTGCTTCAGCTTAGTCATCAACGATTACTGAGGGACACGCCTTGTTTCACGCCTTGGGTCATGAGTAGAGTTTTAACCTGGACCTTACAAATTTATTTTATTAAGTTTACTGTAACCTCACCCTCAGGCTTTAGCTGCATGCCAGGTAAACACAATAAATAAATAGATAAATAAATAAATAAATATGTGGTAGAATAACGGTGACAATGCTACAAGATGAGCACTATGCACGAAATGTAAAAACAAAACAAGGAAACGGTGGTGTTGAAGCGGGGACGATTGCCTTCTCTTCTGCGCAAGAATGCATGGGCGTCGCGCTATTTCGAAATCACGTTTCTTGCGCGCCACGCTCGTATGCGCTTAAAAGGCGTGCGCAATACTGCGTAGATACAGAACCAACTGTGCCTCAAAAGACCGCGATGAAGACGACGACGATGACGAAGCCGTGGGCGTATTCCACGTGCGTTACAGAGCAGGACGAGCCAGCCATTAACCACGGTGGTGAAACGCGCGCGGCGATAGCCTGAGACGTTCGCCCCCTCGACTACGATGTCTCGAACAAGAGCAACGACTGAAGCCAGAGCATCTGAAAAGAACGTAGCCCGCGATGCATTCACGGCGCTACGTGAAGCTGGGGAGGAAGAACGACACCCACGCTTGGTTTTTGCCTTCCTTCCTTTGGACGCGTGTAAAGAACCGGCATGAGTGTGCAACGAACAAGGAAACAAAACAAGTAAAGAAAAGGACAGCAGAACCCTTCTGATGAACGAGCATATCGCATACATGAGAAGGAGTATAGTTCTATAGATACACGAAATAGATAAGTCTTGAGGCAGATCAAAAGAAGTAGGGATAGAGAAAGAAAACAAAAACGATCCTCAGAACGATTCGCCGACTGGTTTTTACTCATCTACAATATGCGCTCATTCTATCCGTCCTACTCATTGGTAATATGTTGAGTCTCTTCAGAGTGGAGTGAATCAAGTTGTAAAGCTATGGGGCATAGGGCATAATATTTGCCGTACTTAAACCTCGTGACGCGTTATGCTATAAATGAGAGAGGTAAATGCGTTATTTAGCTTTCAAAATAGTTTTTGGAATGACATCTGCAAATGTATATATACTGTGACCGATGGCCTTTATTTTCTGGCTACTACTATAGAAGTGCTTTCTCCTTTAAAGCTACTTTTACATGGCGTTGTTTCCGTATAAATATCAATAAAATCAACTCACTAGCAATTAAATCGTGGAATATAATTAGCTCAGAATAGTCGATCGTTCATCGAAATATTTTTGTGCTTACAAACCGTCCACTCAAGGTTACAGTGAGAAACATGCGAGGCAAAGGTTATATAGGGATTCGCAGGCACATCGAAAGAGACTGCGCTATAATATAACAGGTACTTGGCTTCTCGCGTGCCTAAAAAACAAAACAAAAAGACACTTGTTGACGTATGTCTGCAAACAAAGTTGCAACTATGGCTCAAAGAATCACGAGCCCTGTACATATGAACATGTACATATATGTACATATGTACATATGTCCATATGTCAAATGTGCATATGTACATATGAGCTTATGAACATCGGGCGTCGCCGCTGTAATGCCCTGTACACACGATCGTGTGGCGCGTGTCAACGTCTAGAATGCAGTCACTGCCCATACATTCGCGCATAAGCGACACTCGTGAGGTCAGCGCGCATGACTCTGCGACGAGGTAAGTCTCCAGCTGCTCACCGAGACAAAGACGACGAGGGGGCAAGACACCGAGAAAAGAAAAGGACGTGAAACCAAAGCAAATATCAGTCCTAGAGTAGGCAATAGCGAGGCTGTGCAGGGTACGTACGGTACGCGAGCGGAAGATGACGAAGGCGCGGCGAAGAAACGAAGGCGCGGTGCGAGCGACAGGGCGTGCTGCGGGGAGTGTCGCGCCTGGCGCGTGCGGCTGAGTGGGGAGCGCGCCACGGTACGGCACGCTTCTGGCGGCGGTTACACCCGCGTCCAAATGACGGCGGGGCAACGAGAGAAAATGGCTTCGCCACGGGAAACCACGATAAGAAATAAACGCCAAGTAAAATGACGAACGGCGAACAAGAGATAAACGAGATTGAACGAGAAGTCGGATGAAAGGGAGAAGAAAAAGAGAGCAGAATTCCTCCGCCCTTACTGCGAGTTCGTCTACGCAGTGCCAGCGCCACGCATTGGCAGTGCGTTCTTTATGTGTACCACTCTCGGTTCGCAGCATAAAAAGAAGAAGAAGAAGGCGAAATCGCGTGTGCGGCGTCGGGCGCGATCTCCAGAGACTGGCTTAAATATACACGTACGCCCTCTCAATTTGTAGTCCGCGCGCGTGCGCACACACTCCCGCCTCGTGCGGGCGACAGCGCGCTGCGTGCTTTATCGCTTAGTAAGGTGCACGTACAGGCGTAGCCGAAGATACACTGCGCCGACGACGAAGTCGCTCACCGATTCTCCGGTCGCGCTTACGCGCGCTAGAGATATGGGAAAACGTGCGCGCGATTCAAGCCCCTGATGAAATGCTAAGACAAGCGATACGGCCTGTGCTCTGCTGATGCCGTGTGTTTGGACAACTCTGTTTCGTTGGCCGAATCAAGAGAGATAGCTTAAGAGGCAAGCTTTAAAGATTACTCCTGCGATCTGTACGCGATATCGTAGCGGGCTCACAGCGCGGCGACACGACGAGTGAATTAGGCGCAGGTGTTGTAACATCTGTGAGCTTTAACCGCCGTATTGCATCTTCACGGCTAGTGCTTATTCGGCTAGTGCGGTCCGTTTATTACGGTGTGTATTCCGCCATTAAGCTG